AGTACTATATTTTTAAAGTAAATGTAAATAATTTATATTATAAGAATTTGATCAAAATATACAAAATAATCTTACCTCCAAAAACTATAGCCCATCTTCAACCGATAGATGCTAGAATCATTAATTCTTTTAAAGTTAGTATATTATATAATCAGAATTACATACTATACAGCATATTAATTTTTTTTTCTTTTTTTTTTTAGGCCAAATACAGACGTCTTCTTATTCAAAACCAGTTGGATGCATATGAATTTGCACATAACAATCAAACCGAGGTAAAACTAGTTAATATAAAGAAAACAATTGAATATTGTATATCAGCATGGGATAAAGTATCGTATGAGACAATTAAAACTATTGCTGTAAAACAGGAATACTTCCAGTTAAATTAAATTATAATGACCTACCTCAAGAAGATACTTTATTATACAATAAATATCTGGATGATGAAAACGAAGTTGATTATCTTATTGAACAACTTCCAATTAATAATAATGATCTTTTATCTGCATCAGAATATATAAAAATTAACAATGACCTATCTACAACCAAAATACCTTCAAACCAAGAAATTTTAGCCGCTCTTCAAGAAGAAGATGATAATGATACAAGTGAGCCCTTAATTCAAATTTCACTTAAAACAGCATTGAAAAGTTTGGAAAATATAAAGCTATTATTGTTAAATTTACCAGAAGCCTTACACATTGAAAATGATGATTTGAAGGTTATCAACTCACTTAAAAAATGTATTTCATACTTAATTACTCAACAAAAGAAGCAATCAAATCTAGAGAATTTTTTTAGTGATAAGTAATACTGCTCATATTGTTTTAGAGGGTATTTAAAAGGTGTAGGTTAAATGAATGTGTTAATTTATAGAGGATATGTTATTGTTATTGAAGGTTATGAATATATGTAAACTAAAAATTTGATTTACAGTAGCTTTCAAATTTATAGCAACAGCTTTTTTTAGGTAAGATTATTTTGTATATTTTGATCAAATTCTTATAATATAAATTATTTACATTTACTTTAAAAATATAGTACT